GGCCTTTGCCCACCTGGATGACAGAATTAATGGCCTGTAATCTAGTCACATGACTTAAAATTAAAATTAAAAAAAATTCAGGCTTTGCCTGGTGAAGCTCCGTTGGTTAAGTGTTGTCCGTGCACCAAAGGGTTGCAGGTCTGATTCCCGGTCAGGGCACATACCCTGGTTGCAAGTTCGATCCCCAGTTGGGGCATTTGTGGGAGGCAGTGGATCAATGTTTCCCACCTCCCTCCCAGCATGTTCTGCATAAGGATTTTTAAAAAATCTTTATTGTTGGGGTAAGGATTTAAAAAGAAAATCCCGGTGCTCAGTAGAGAGTGGCTGGTGACCGCTGTATTTGACAGCGGGGATGGGGAATGTTTCCATTGTCACAGAAAGTCCTAGTCAGCAGTGATGCTTCTTTCAAGGCAGGCTCTTGAAAACCAATTTCAGGCGTTAATGAGACTTGAAACTCAAGAGCAGACCTGCAATGGGTTTAGAACTGGCTTCTAAATAGTGAGTCCGTCCTTTGTTCTTGGCCCCCACCCACTCCCCGGGACGAACGCTGACTGATGAAATAATTGTAACCAAACACAGCATCACATGGACAGCTCTTTGGGGTGGGTGTTAGTTTAGTGCTTTCACTGAAGTATGGATTCCTGAACATTTTAACTGAAATGTAAATTCCTGGTTGGGGGTGGGGAAGTGGCGGGAGGAGGTGGTGGTGAAGGATTTGGCTAAAGGGATGGGACTCCTGCCTCATAGAAACAAGAAGGACTGGAACTGAGACCCTGGGAGGAAGCACTTCCTTGGATTTAGTAGGAAGTGTTAACCTATCCTTGCCTCTGAGTCCCTTCTCCTTCAGAGGAACATGTTCCAGGACCAAGGGCTGAGGTGAGGGTCCCAGCATTCACATGTTCTCTGACCCTCCACAGAAGAGCCTGGTGCAGGCGAAGGATGATGTTTTCTGCGAGATGTGTGAATACGTGGTGAAGGAGGTGGTCAAGATGATCGACAGCAACAAGACTGAGGTACGGGGTTTCCGGAATGCTCCCCTCCTGGCAGCGGGAGGCGCTCTCCTGGGTTCGTGGAGCTGGAATGGCCCAGTGGGAGAACCCAGAAGAATAGGTGGGCTTGGTCCTTGCTGGTCTGGGCACCAGCCTGGGAATCTGTCACCACCTCCCACCCGTGGATCCCTCTGGGCTGCGGCTGGAGGAGGCCACTTTGCCCTGCTTGTAGCTCTTGTCTTTTGCAGGAGGAAACGGCATCTTGCTGTTGACTGGTTTCCTAGTCATGTTAGTATTTTCAGAATCTCTCCCACCCCTACCCAGCCTCCCATGTGATCCTCTTGTGTTTCAGGAAGAAATAATTCATGCTTTCGATAAAGTGTGCTCAAAATTGCCCAAGTCCTTGTCGGAAGAGTGCCAAGAGGTGGTGGACACTTACGGCCGCTCCATCCTGTCGATCCTCCTACAGGAGGCGAGCCCTGAGCTGGTGTGCAGCATGCTCCAGCTCTGCACCAAGCAGAGGCTGCCCGCACTGACCGGTGAGCCCAGTGGGAGTGAGGCTGGCCGGCCCCTCGGGGGTTTGGGGGGGCCCTGCCGGCACTGAGCCTGTGCTCTCGCACAGCACACGTGACTCAGCAGAATGACGGTGCCTTCTGTGAGGTGTGCAAAAAGCTGGTTGGCTATTTGGACAACAACCTGGAGAAAAACAGCACAAAGGAGGAGATCCTGGCTGCTCTTGAGAAAGGCTGCAGCTTCCTGCCCGACCCATACAAGAACCAGGTATGCCCTGGCTGCTCTGCGTCCGACCTGCCTGGGCCCTGCAGAGGCTGGGCTGTTCCCTGATGGTGCCCTTGACTGAGGTTTTGAAGCCATTTCTGCCTGGATGCATGGAGTCCAGTGACCTTTCCTCAGAGGCCATCTGTTGGCTCAAATGGAGCCACTGGGGGAAAATAACACAAGCAAATGAGGCCGAGTGTGGGTGGGGCTCTGGGGAGGAGGCCCTGGGCTGGAAATCTTGGGGAAGAGCATGTCCAGCTCCCACTCTTCTGGGCACACCTTGACCTGGACCCGTGTCCCTGCTTGCTTCTCAGTGTGATCAGTTTGTGACCGAGTACGAGCCCATGCTGATAGAAATCCTGGTGGAGGTGATGGAGCCGTCCTACGTGTGCTCGGTGAGCTGAGCGCGGGTTCGTGGGCACGCAGCCCGGGGTGTTGTGTGGACCCTGGAAGGGCTCCTCAGAGGGTGTGGGCCATGGGCCAGAGGCTCTGGGATGGGGCGTGAGAAAGCCAAGTAGAGAACCAGGCTCTAGGCCCACCACTTGGGAGCCCTGATGTTTTTTGAAAGTGCACATCAGAGCTCTGGTTCTCGCTGCTTCTAGAAGCTGATGGTTTCAGGTCTGTAAAGGATTCGTTAGATCTAATTCTTCCCCTTCTCTGCTCCCTTTTCATCATATAGAAAGTTGGAGCCTGCCCCAAAGCCCCTAAGCCTCTCTTGGGAACGGAGAAGTGTGTGTGGGGCCCGAGCTACTGGTGCCAGAGCACGGAGACAGCGGCCTTGTGCAACGTGAGTAGCTCAGCACCTGCTCCACAGGCCTGCCTTGGCGGGCGGGCGGCAGCTTCCCTGAGAGTCCTGCTTTAACGGCTTCGGGCCATTCTCTACCCTGTGTTAGTGAGGACCCTGAGGCCACGGGAGGCGATCAGGCTTACTCCCAGCTTCCCAGCCAAGGCAGGGCTGGCTGTGTTCTTGTCTCAGAGTGAAGGTAGCTGTTCTTTAATATTGATTTTGTTTCGTTCTCTTGCTTTCACCTCCAGTTCCCCATGAGAGGGTCAGATTTGCACGAGGCCGCACCCCCCCCCCCCCCCCCCGGGATTGCACAAGGCCTAATGGGTTCATTGCCCCAACCCTTGCATAAGTCCTCATGCCCCTCGGGGGTCACTTTTGCCCTGGTTGGAGCCTGGCCTGAATCTTCACCCAAGGCCAAGCAGAGCTGTTTAGAATGGCCCTGAGAGTTGGCACCTGCCTGACAGCCGCAGGGTGCTGTGGCACCATCCTGGCTGGGTAGCCACCAGTTGGGTGACCTACGCTCACTGTTTTCCTGGGTGGGGACGTTTGGACCAGCCTCTGTTACTTAATGTTCTTTTGTGCAACTTTTTCTTCCTCGTGCGAGTTCCTCCAGTTGGGAGGTTGCATCATTTGGGGCCACTGCAAGGAGGGGTGGTGAGGCCCGTCATGGCGGAACAGGTTTCCGCTGCTGTCCTGGGCCCATTTCTCAAGGCCTGAGCGGGTGTGAATCTCTGACTCTCAGGGAGGAGTTCTGCCGTGGGGGCCTCCAGTGCAGCCTGTCAGCTGATGCTGGGGCCTCGGCGTGTGGCTGGACGCAGGGGTCCTGCCCTACCTGCCTGGGTGCTCGTGTGCAAGCACGTGCTCCCCGGGTTTTGAGTGAGCTGCTGTCCTGGGCCCTCCGTGTGGTGCCATCCACCTGACATAGGGCAAGATGAACAGGCTCCATTTTGGGGGGATGTCTGATGCATGAAAGGGCTAGGAGTGGAGTTGTCATCTGATTAACCCAGTGTCCTCTCTCCTGTCAGGCCGTCGAGCATTGCAGACGTCACGTGTGGAACTAGAAAGAATGTTCCAGCTTGGAGAAACCACAGCATCTGTTCCTACTTGTATGTCTGGGGGAATGAACACAGATCTTTCGACTTTGTTATAAAAATAGGCCCCCTTTTCCCTCACACTGTTTCTTCTCCCCCTTATTGTAACATTGCTGTCAACGCGGGAGGTGCCTAACCCGCCGCTGACATAGTGCTTCAGTGTCCTTTTCATTCTGCCACATGGATAATGACGCCCTGCACCCTGGAGGCCGCTGAGCCTGCCCTTGCATGTGGTTACCTGGAGGAGGAAGGGGGCTCGCTGCTGGCAGCAGCCAGAGCTTCACAGAAGGCCCTCCGTCCTCTCGGCCGGGGCTTTGCTGAGCCCTGACCCGGGCTTGGGCGCTGGTGGGCTGGCTTCTGTAGCCTCTACCTACACTAAGGACACCTCCCCAGGCTTCTGGGTTGCTAGACAAAAAAGTGAAACAAAGGCTGCTTTATATAAAAGATTAGAGGCTCAAAGTAATGAGGCTTTGTACTCAGTGTGGTTTGCACTGAAATTGAGGTTGTGGAAGCAGCTGCTCAGGACACCTGGGTGAGGTTTGGGTTTGCTGACCCTGGGTCAGCCTTTGCTCCAGCTTTCCCGTGTCTTTCCTGGTGACGTCTTGCTTGGTCCTGTGGGTTTGGGTGGGAGGGGAAAATCTGCTTGAATGCAACCTGCGTAGCTCAGTGTGGGGGTCCTCTGCCCCTGGCTTTTGTGAGTGAACACGTGGACCGTGGTGACCACCTCATGCCTGCTCTGTGCCTCTGGGCATCACAGCCCCTTTGACCCGTTTTGTGGATATTGCTTTTGACCTTGAAATAAGTGGATGACCAGCACCTAAGCCTCTGGCTTCCAGGCAGCGGGCCTGTTGGGCGTGCTGTTCAGGACCTTGGCTGCTGCCCTGCCTCCTCCCCCGTTGCTGACTCCTCTGCTGCACTTCCGGTTGTCAGGGGCAGTGAGACCTGCAGTTGCCATTAAACGGACTTAATGATTTTTTTGTTTTGCACTAAAGTTTCTGTGATTTAACAATAAAGTCTGTCAATCAGATCTGATATTCTGTGATACCTCAGCCAGAAGTTGGGTTTCTGATTGGCTCTCCAAGGCTGTGGACCCGTAAGTGCTCAGCAGTCCCGTGGCACCTCTTGGTCAGAGAAAGGAAGCACAGTGGGTCAAGTCCCACCTGTCTGCCCTGAGATGCCCCGGCTGGGGGGGCCCAGGCCGCCGTGCCCGTCACCCCCCTCCCTCACCTCCCTGGCCAGCCACGCCGTCGTTTACCAGAGCGAGTGCCAGTTCCTGTGAGTTGCTTTTCTTTTTAAAATTCAGACCATTCCAGACACGTTCAGTGAGTCCCAGTGAAACAAACCAAGGGGAGCATATTGAGGGAATAACTTAGTTTAAAAAGGAATACACACGAACACTCTACATTCAAAACCAAGGGAACACCAGTCATTTCTCCTTTTGAGCCGGTACGTTGGGGAAGCCAGTGACATGGAGAGCACGTGGTTCGTGGATGATTACCTCGTCCAGGGGGGAGGCAGGGGCCACTCATTGCCCCACCTGGTGTCCGGTCGGACATGGCAGAAACGCGTGAGACTTGAACAGAAGTCAAGGCCAGGCTGGGCTGGGAGGGGCGGAGAGGGGAAGGGCGTCTGCTTGGCCTCTCAGCTCAGCCCGGGCTGAGTTGGTCCGTACTCCTGTCCCCCAGGGATGCTCCTTACCTTGTCCTTAGACACTTAACATTCTTGTTTGGTTTTCTTAAAAAAATAACAGATTTTATGAAGGTAGAGATCAGATGCTGAATGAGTGCCTGGCAGCAGTGGCGTCTGAGCTGCAGAGAGCAGGCTGCCACCACTTGACCAAGCCACGGTCGTGAGCCAGGGTCGGCTTGGAGGGGTCCGCACCCCCCGGTCCTGGCGCTGCTCACACCGGTGAGGCTCCCCCATCTAGTCATAGCTCCGTGATCTCCAGGGGGCTCTCCATGATCACATCTCGAAGCTTGTGCAGGGGCGTGGATTTGGCGGACTCCGTGCGGGCGTTGCGCTCGAAGGCACTGGCCTCGGCCGCTGTCAGCGTCTCCAGTGAGCGGCCCAGACCCTTCTGGTCGTCCTCAGGCAGGCTGTTGAGGTCAGTGGCCAGGAGTGTGCCCGTGCTGCCATGCACCATGTGGATCCCGTCGGGCCCCTTGAGCTCCGGAGGCGGCTTGCAGAAGCGCAGGCTGCCCTGGCCCGGGCTGCGCTCCCCCGGCTCCTCCAGCTCCGTCTGGATCAACTGCAAGAGTCCAGGAGCCCCCACATGTTCAGGGCTGTTCCCAGGGGGTGAGCAGGCGGGTGGCCCCAGCATCCTACCTGCTATGTGCCTGCTTCCTCCCCATTGCGCACAGGGACCCTGGGCTGGTGCTGCAGCGACCTCTGTGACCGCTAACAGCCCGTCTCCAGCTGGTATGGGGGAACCATGGAACTTACGGTGCTGTGCTCTCGGGAGCATGGACTTCCTGTGAGTTGAATTTTGTGTATTCACTTTTATCTGCAAAGTTGCTGTGATGCAACTGCAGTATCTGGGTTTGTTACCAAGTTGGCCTCAAGCAAGGTCAACACTAGTGGCCAGGTCGAAGTGCCCACAGGTGAAGCTGGAGGGGACCAAGGTGTACTGGGCACCCAGATGGAGCTTTTGTTCCGTGTGGAACTTGGCTTTGGCCCATTTCACTTGGAATGTTGGCCCAGCTGGTGATCTGGGTCTGACTTTCCAAGTGTTGACACGCCACTGCAGGCAGGCACACTTGAGACCCTATTTGAACCTACAGCCAGTTTCTTTAAATCACCCCTTACAAGTATCTTTTTGGGGTTCCTCAAATCTGGGAAACATTTCCTTGTGTTTACCCCATCCCTGGAAAGCCCACTGCAGAACCCAGAAAGCAGAGCCCACTGTCACTTCCTGTACCTCACCCACTGCTCTGGTCCTGGCTGCTGAGCCCCAGAGATGGAGAAGGATGAGAGCAGCAGGAGAGCCAGAGAGCGGAAGGGAGAGAGAGCACCCCCAGGACTGGGGCACGGCACACAGCTCCCTGCCCTCCCCGCTACCTCGGAGATGGAGGAGTGGCAGGAGGAGGCTTTTTGCACCATCCGCTGTGCAAAGAGCTTTTTGAGCCGCAGGTAATCCTCCAGGACCACCTTCAGCAGCGAGCCCTGGGGGAGGGAGAAGGTTAACCCCCACCACGGCCCCCCCGGCCTCCCCACCCCTCGCTCTGGTAACTCATACAGGGGTGATGGAAGGTGACAGGGCATCTAGGAGACGCAGGCCTCTAACCCTGGTGTAGAGGCTCAGGAGCAGAGCCTGAGGGCTCAGGATGGCACCCTGATCCTAAGGGCACCACGGGCTGAAGCAGCTCCTGCTCGGCCCCAGTGCCCAGGACCCTCTTGTTGCCCTGGTGTTGCCCCAGGGGAGGCTGGGTCTAGCTGAGCCTGGCGGTGGAGAAGGCTGTTCCCCGCTCCATGCATCCCCTGGAGCAGGTCCAAGCTTAGCTAAGGCTCCGGGGCAGGGGTGCAGGAGTCTGTAGGGAGCGCTCACCTTGATGGGCCCCTCGCGGATGATCTGGCCCAGCTTGGCAATGTTGTCGTACTCCTGGAGGGCTGCCCGCAAGTAGCGGTCTTCGTCAGGTTTCACTGCTGCTGGCTCACGTCCAAAAGTTCCCTGGGGGAGAGGATGTTAGCTGGACAGAGGTAGACAGCGAGCAGGCACACACCCACATACAGGGCAGAGGACCACCTCGAACAGCGGCCGCCAGCCTTTCAGTCTTCATGGACTGTCAGTGGTCCACGGACCACCGGTCCGCAACCGCCTTCCTAGAAAACCCCTCTCCTCCTCGGCCAGGTCTGACGAAGACCCGCCCTTCCTGTACCCTGCCCCTGGCCCTGGCCCTGGCCCTTCCTCTACCTGGCCCTGCCCCTGGCCCAGGCTCACGTGGGTGCGGGTGGGGCTGCTCCACAGGTCTGCGATCTCGCTCAGGTTCTCCGGCAGGTCGTCCTCGTGCTCGGCCTGGGCGGCCAGCTCCAGGTTCCGGCAGAAAGGATCCAGCCATACTGGGTTGGCCCTGAAGGTGGGGGCGGGGTGGGGTGAGGATGGAAGGCTTGAGCAGAGGCCCTGACCGCCTCACCCTCACCCCTTCCTGTTAACCTGGCCAACTATAGTGTCTCACAGAGCAGGGGAGGGGGTGCAGGTCCCTTGCCCACAGCACCTGCGTGTGCGTCCTCCCCTAGGATCCCACTACAACCAGGACAGGACATGTCGATTGGATGAGCTTCGGTCTGGAAGCCTCACTGCACCCACTGACCAAAGTCAACTCCCCCCTCGAACTTGGGGCCCATCAGGGTTGGGGAGCCCAGCTCAGTGACAGGGTTTCTGAGGGTGGAGAGAGAGGGGTGGCTGACCCACCAGGGGGCGCCCACACCCCAGGTTTTAGCTAGTCCGCGCTCCCTTGCTGGGAGTCGATAGGGAAGCTTCCGCCCCAGCTGGGTCCTGGGCAGGCCTTCCCAGCATGCACCAGGCAGGGCGTGGGGACCCCACTCACCCGTCAAAGGAATACTTGTTGGTGTTGGGCATGTCCATGATGTCGATGAAGCCACGGTTCCCTGCAGGGAGCGGTTGGGGCATGGAGGGGAGGGAGTGCTCTGCTGGGGCTGGGGAGCCCGGCCCCGTCCAGGGCCATGTGAGTTCCCCAGGAGCCCCTCCTGACCTCCAACCTCCCGCCATCGCAGCCCTCACTCACCTGCGGAGCCAGCCACGATGGCTTTGAGTTTCCTCTTGTGTCTGGAGAGAAGCAGAGAGAGGCGCTGGTAAGGGAGGCTGGGGCTGGGCTGGCATCTCAGGACACTGCCTGCCTCCATATCCATCCCTGGAGGAGGGCGGGCTGGTCGGCCAATCTCAGGGCAGGGCCAGGGGTCACTCACACGGTCCGGTAGTACCAGTTCATGAGGATGAAGAGCATGGCAGCCAGGAAGAGGAGGATGGCCAGGACGATGATCGCCATCTGAGGGAACGGGACAGGCGTGAGCGGGCGGGCACACCCGGGGTGACAAGGGGGCTGTGGGGCCGGTGCCCCAGGGGTACCTGCAGGGCAGACATGTCTTCGGGCAGCTGGACAGTGATGGCAGGCTGCACGTCCATGACATTGTAGTTCCGGAAAAGATTCCGCAGCTGTTCCTTGTTCTCGTCGATCATCTGGATCACCCTGGGCAAGGGGCAGGGGCCTCAGCTCATCCCCCAAGCGCCTGCTCACTCAGGCCGGGCTGCCCAGGTCTTGACTTGGACGTCTAAGGTTCACCCCCGCAAGCCTTGCAAGATTAAAGCCCACCCAGCTAGGATCGCTTTGTATCCTCTAGAGTTCACATCCCTCACAATCAATACAATACTCCCATTGTACAGACGGGGAGAGTAAGGCTCAGGAGGGCAGAGCTCTGCTAAGACCCACAACCTGGGGAGAGCGCCACGCAGCAGACACGATGGTGTTGGTGATGCCTCTGCTGGTGGGTCCCCCCCGCCCACCTCCAGGGCAGGGAGGCAGACGACACTCCGAGCACAGATCCCCACTCACCGGTCCACGTCCAGGATGCGGTTGGTATCTCGGTTCACCACGTGGATGAGCAGCTCTGTCTGTGCGAAGTTCACCCGACCCTTCTTATCCACGTGGAACTAGGCGAGAAGGGGCGTCACAGGGTGTGGCAGGTGCAGGGGCTGGGCGGGGCAGGCCTCTTTTAGGCGCCCCTCCTGGCCTGCCTTCCCAGGGAACCCATCACTAGCATGATACCCACCACCTCACTGCGAGGCACTACCATTACCCCATTTCACAGGTTAGGAAACGGGCCCGGAGATCTGGGAGGCCTTTCTCAGGGCCATGCAGGTAGGAAACGATTGAGGACACATACATCCCCTTTCACATCTCTGGCCTCTCCTCAATGCCCTGTCCCTCCCTGTGGCCTAGTCCTCTCCCTCCACTGCCCCCAGCCCCAGGGCGGGTCCCGTGGGCACCTGCACGTCGTCAGTGTTGACAATGGCACCGGTGATGTTGGAGAGCAGGCGGATGAACTCCTCCTCAAAGCCACGCACGCGGTCGGGGATCTCGTTAATGACGATCTTGACGCGCTGGTCATCCCTCAGGATGTAGATGCCGATGATGGCCGTGTCGTTGTGGCCTGCCAGGTCCTGGGCCACAATGTCCACCACAAAGTAGCCGGGGCTGTAGGCCATGAAGAGGTCGAAGGTGCGCAGGATGCCATCCACACTCCCTGCAGGAAGAGCCCATGGGTGGGGAGCAGCTCAGGGGCCACCCAGTGACCCAGAATCCCTGGGGCAGGGGCAGGAGACACACGTCTGGGGAGGCAGCATGGGCCTGCAGGACTTGGGACCCAGAGCTGCAGAGCACAGCGTCCACTCCACCTCAGCGTGGCTGCCACACCTGCGCCTCTTCTATAGATTCCTAGTGAACTCTCCTGATTTCTAACGACTGAGCTGTTTTTATTTAAACATTCTGCATACTAAACAAAACAACTGTGGGGTGTGCTGGCCCAAGAATGATGAGTTTGGGCATCTGGTGTCCCCTGCTGGGGTCCTTCTGAGCCCCCGTAGTGTCTGTCTGTATCCCCACATGCACTTCAGAATTTGACAGTAGAGAGATGACCACAGGAGGCACAGTCCAGTCTTCTCTTAGAAGACAGTGGACATGGGTTTAAAATTTGCCATTTTCTAGCTGTGTGACCTTTCACTACTTAGCCTCTCTGTGTTTTTGTTTATTGAAATAAGAGCAATGGGAGGTCAGAGGACAAAGGGATGGTGTCTGGTTGTGTAATTGGAGAAGGTGGCATATGAACTAGATTTGTTTTAATCCTCACCTGAGGATATGCTACTGTTTTTTAGAACTGAATTCAGAGAGAGAGAGAAACGTCAATTGAGTGCCTCCCGTATATGCAGGGATCGAACTTGTAACCTTTTGGTGCACAGGATGATGCCCCAACCAGCGGAGCCCCCCAGCCAGGGATGACCTAGATTTTGAAGGATGGCTGGGGGGAGCATATCGAAGGCAGAGGTGAAGGTCAGGATGGTAATCCAGGAAGTGAAAAGGGACCAACAGTCCAGGGGAGGCTGGTGTGCAGCGGGCTGAAGGAATGGTGAGCAGTGCAGCCTGACTGGGCACAGGGCCTTTAAGGATAGCAGGGGATGAGAACCGGAAAGGGATTAGGAAGAAGACCTGGTGAGCCTTGAATGCCAGGCCAAGATGTCTGGATTGACTCCTACAGACAGAGAAGAGCGGGGAAGTAAGGGGCTGAAAGTAAGGTAATGGGACACCCTGTGAGCTCAGCCTCCCACACACGGAAGTACACAAGCAGACGTGCACACTTGTAGGTACAAGTGCACTCCGAATGCTGGCTCCCCAGTGCCTAGCACAGTGCCTACCACGGGAAGGCGAGGTGTCCAACTGGAACATCAGGTGGATATATGGAAAGGGGACTGGAGAGATGGGTGGGTGGATGGAGGGATCGCTGGAGGGATCGCTAGATGGCTGGCTGGCTGGCTGGCTGGCTGGATACATGAATAATGGGTGGAGGAGGAAATGGGAAGAGAAGGATAAAGAGGAAGTGGGTGGGTAGATGTAGATATGGATAGGTGGTTGAGTAAAAGGATTAAACAATGATAGCTGACTGGCTGAGTAGATGAATGGGTGAATGAACAAAAAGACTGACATGGCTGGCTGACCACCCATATTCTGTGGTGCCCAAACAGACCATCCCATCTCTCCCAGACGACATTCCCTGCAGTGACAGAGGCCCCTACCCACGTGTGACAGGCCCCTAAAGGGGACTGGAGAGATGGGTGGGTGGATGGAGGGATCGCTGGAGGGATCGCTAGATGGCTGGCTGGCTGGCTGGCTGGCTGGATACATGAATAATGGGTGGAGGAGGAAATGGGAAGAGAAGGATAAAGAGGAAGTGGGTGGGTAGATGTAGATATGGATAGGTGGTTGAGTAAAAGGATTAAACAATGATAGCTGACTGGCTGAGTAGATGAATGGGTGAATGAACAAAAAGACTGACATGGCTGGCTGACCACCCATATTCTGTGGTGCCCAAACAGACCATCCCATCTCTCCCAGACGACATTCCCTGCAGTGACAGAGGCCCCTACCCACGTGTGACCAGGCCCCTACCCACGTGTGACCAGGCCCCTACCCATGGTGAAGACCTGGCCCACGTCCTCGGAGTCATTGGCAAAGGCCCGGAAGTAGTGAATGGCCAGAATGCTGTAGAAGACCAGGCTGTTGTTGCCAATGTCTGCGTCCAGGGCCAGCACCTGAATCAACTCCGAGCCCATCTTGGCGTCAGTGGCCACTCCTGCAGAAATGGGCGGTGGTGTAAGCGGTAGGGCAGGGCCACCCCACCCCCGGCACCCAGGCTCCAGTCCTGCACCTGCAGTGTACTCAGCCTTCGTGAAGCGCGGGGGCTGGTCGTTGATGTCCTCTAGCACGACGCGCACCTCCTGCAGGGTGAGGTCCGTGACCAGGTCCAGGTCCGGTGCGGGTCCCCGGGGAGGCGTCCAGCTGCGATTGCTCGAGGCCTTGACGATGAAGGAGAAAACAGCTTCGCGCTCCCGGTCCAGGTCCTTTAGCACCAGCAGACGCCCGTCAGGCTGAAGATGGAAATTCTTCTCTTCGTTCCCAGCTGAAGGTGGGACAGGCACAGGGTGAGGGCAGGGCACACGGGCCGTCTCCAGCCCCGGGGCAGGCAGGGCGCTGGTCCCGTCAGCCCCACCTGCGATGAAGTAGTACACGATGGCGTTGGAGCCCTCGTCTGCGTCCACGGCGCCGGTCACATTGCCCACGAGGGTGCCACGCGGTGAGTGCTCGGGCACTGTCAGCAGCTGGTACTGGGGGCTGCCTTTCTGCAGGGAGAGGGGAGTGTCCTCACAGGGGCAAGGCCCGGGCTCCCAGCTCCTGCCAGAGGCCCAAGGCCAGGCCCGTGGGTGCTGAGGGAGCTTCTTGTCCACACCTTATCGGGTGAGCAGAGGGCTATAACCTCAAGGGACCAAAGGCTGGGCCTGGGAGACCCCAGCTCGGCCCTGATGTCACCCAGTGGCATCCTCTATGAGGGCAGGGCAGTGCTTGGCACTCTCTCTGGTCTCCCAATACCTCAGTGGATGTTTGGACCAGGGGTCACTGTCTCATATGCACGTGAGTCTCCAGGGAGCATCATCCCAGGTGCACACAGGGAAAGCGCCAAGTCAGAGAGCCCAAGTCCAAGGAGGGTCCCAGCCCAACTCAGGGAAGCAGAGCTGACTCTCCGGCTCCCCGTGTACAGTGTGGCACTAAGGAGGGGTCAGCTCCAGGAGTGCGGCATTTTGCTCCGTTTTGGCAGCTGGGTAGTGCTTTGACATAGTAGTGGCTCAATAAGTATTTGTTCTATTAAGTGTATGCCAGTTTCTGGGTGCAACCACACATGCATATGGTGAAGGGCGCAGAAGGGAGGACATGCACATGTGTGCCTGCAGGCAGGGAGTCCCTGTGTGGGTGTGACAGGTGCAGGGCATGGGTGAGAGCTCACTGGAGGCCTCAGGAAGAGGGGCTCGTTGTCATCGATGTCATCCAGGGCCACCTGCATGGGCTGCATGGTCTCATAAGGCACTGGCTGGCCCAGGTCGCTGGCCACCAGGATGAGCTAGAGGTGGAAGGACACAGTCAGAAGAGGAGCACTCCCGGGGCCAGACCACCCTGTTGAAGACATTCTAGGTGGCCCTGCACCCAGAGGAAAGCCCTCCCCGGCCCCGCCCCTTGAGCAGGCCCCGCCCTTACGCTGTACATGGCCTGCTTCTCACGGTCCAGGCGCTGCGCCGTCTGGATGAGGCCGCTGATGGGGTCAATGGTGAAGTACTCCCAGTCCCTGTTGCCTGTGGTCTTCAGGAAGCTGTAGCGCACGGCCCCGTTGAGGCCCTCGTCCTGGTCTGTGGCATAGACCTCGTACACGTTGGAGCGCAGCGGGACCTCCTGCGGAGGGCAGGGGAGGGGGGCTGCTGAGTATCTGGGAGAATCCCAGCTCCCAGGCCCCCTTGGAGCTCTCATTCTTTCTCGTCCTGCAGCAGCATGTCCTTGCCACCTTTCTGCATCCTTAGGAAATGGCTTCCTGTTGGCTGGACTCTACTGGAGTCTGAGCATCTGCTAGAACATCCCCTCACCCACCCCTAGCCAGGCCACTGCCCTTGGATGGTTCAGCCTGGGACCCTCCGTGCTCCAAACTCTCTTAGGGTGACCGCCTGTCCAGCGGCTACCCTCATCCCTCCGACTCCATTGCGTGCTCAGGTTTAGAAGAGGCCACAGCCATCCTCTGTTCCCGGGTCTGTTGCTCTCTGCTACCCCAATCTCTAGGTATCCCCAAACACCATCCACTTAATGGGGTACCTGAAAATGGGGGGCAGGTAGGTGGGGTAACATGGTGGATGCAGAATGGACACCTGGGTTCTAGTCTGTTATAATACCATGTGACCCAAACATGCCACTAAACCTCTCTGAGCCCCAGTCTCCCATATCCCTTGAATTAAGTCTAAGATATCAAAAAGCGTAACTGATGTCATACACTGACACAGGCATGATAAAGCCGCATGGCACACAAGCAAAGAACAAGTTTCGTTGCTTTTGGTTGAAACATTACCGGCTCAGCATGGTTTCACTGTGTATCTCATTGACCAAGACTATCAGACACTCTGAATGGCAGTTGCAGTTAATTAATAGAAAGTGGATGACAAACAGATAATTTCTTAACAGATGTTGGTTGTTTGGGAGACATGAATCTTTCAAAATACAGAGCCCTTGAAGGGAAAAAGTTAGTAAATGGGGCCTTTGCTATGGAAAAGTACTAGATTATTATAAATGTATACACTGCCTCATTCCACAAAGAGGATTTAAGGCAGTTTACCAGAAAGGATATATACTAATAAAAGGGTAATATGCTAATTAGACCAGACATCTTCCAGACGACCTTCCAGACAAAGCCACGGTGGCAGGGCCGAGGCAGAGGCAGTTAGGGGGGATTAGGCCGGCAGGGGAGAGCAGTTAGGGGGATCAGGCTGGCAGGCAGGTGTGCAGTTAGGAGCCAGTGGTCCCGGATTGTGAGAGGGATGTCCAACTGCTGGTTCGGCCTAAACCAGCAGTAGACATGCCCCAAGGGGTCCCAGATTGGAGAGGGTGCAGACCAGGCTGAGGAATCCCCTCCCCCCCTCCCCCCGTGCACGAATTTTGTGCACGGGGCCTCTAGTAAATTATAATAAGAGTGAAAGCATTTTTAAAAAATCAGGGTAGACAAAAGAAATGGTTGACAGGAAAATGGGAACTGAGGAATGGGAAGCAAGGTGTGTATGCTAAGACCCTGCAGGGCCACTCAAGGTGGGCTGAATGCTCTGAGCTCCCTTAGTGGACAAAGCAAAGAGGACCGACCACTCAAGCATCACAACAGACTCAAGTTGCAGCAAGTCACAACATAAAAGCACAGTGTGTCCGAGAGCTCTGCCCTGCAGAACTTCCTTCCATGGTACCTCCAAGAGGAGACACAGTGACAGCAAGAACTCGGTGCTGACGATATGAGGTGCAGAGACTTGCGGACGTTTGGGGAGCGAACAGCAAGTGGGAGGTACCCTGATTGTACCACCAAGGGCATTGTGGGCTGGGTGCTGAGAGGAAGGTGGGGAAGGATAGAGACAGAGAAAGACTTCCCTATCTTTATAAGGCAATGAGAGCGAGGAATGAAAGAAGAATTGGGGAGTTTCCGGAAGCTCAGCCACTTCCCCTGGCTTCTTGTTTTGATGCTCATCCTCAGCTCCCAGGCTGTCTCCGCTTGGTGTTGCAGGAACAACAGGCACTTGGAAGGGGCCTGGATGTTTATCTCGAGACCAGGGTGGCGGAAGTGGGTTTCTGGGGACTGTTCTTGGCAGATATCTAATAGCTGGAGATGATTAGTCCCATGTTGCAGAGGGAAAACAAACTCAGAGAAGTCACTTGCTCAAGGTAGTTTGGCTGGGGTTAGACTTGAATCCAGGACCTTTTGAGGACACAGCCCATATTGCTAACCATTGTTCAGCACTGCCCTGGGCAGCACAGAAGAAGTCTATTCCCTCCTCTGCCTCAGTTTCCCCACTTTCACAACGGGGCCCGCCCGGGCACGACGGCGGGATGAAGCGGGCTGGGTATGGGGAGGGGCCTGCTGTCGGCAGGAGGCCTGGGGGACACGCACCTCTTTGATGTGGACGATGGTGCCGTTGGGGGGGCGCACAAAGACAGGGCGGTTGTCATTGACGTCGATGACTTCCACCAGGAGCATGGTCGTGCCCCAGAGCGGGGGCTCGCCGCCGTCGGTGGCCACCACGGTCAGGTTGAACCTCTCGTAGGAATGCAATGGCCGCTTTGTGGTCACCAGGCCTGAGTCCATGTCCACGTGGAAGGCCTCTGGCAGGGGGTGGCAGAGAGAGCAGGGCATGTCTCTGGCTGAGACCTCCTTCCATGGCAGCCTGCCACTCCCCCCCCCGCCCCCCCCCCCCCCATGGCATCACAGGTAAGGAGCCGGCTACGTACCCTCACCAGGGCCCTCAAGTGAGTAGGTCACTTCCCCGTTGGAGCCCTCATCCTGGTCGG